TCCATGCGCTTCAAATAACATGAGAAACTGAGACTGACTCACTGTTTCCCATTTCATTAGTTCAGGGCAGGATGCAGAGCCTATAAACACATTCCGTGTGAGTCTTTACATGACATGAAGTTCCTTTCTCTAGGTTTGCAAACCCACTTTTTCTTTTTTGTATCCCTGGAATAACTGTTTATGGTATCTCTCTTCCAGCTCCTCTGACTGCCCATACATAAGCATGAAATATGGCTTGAGACAGCAGTACTTGTGCCTCTATAACTTTCTTCTCTTGGCTACTGTAGTTACACTTAATCTTCTCTGACTAACAAGATCAAAATATCTATACATCAGTAGCTCACCAAGAGAGAAGGAACGGACCTTGGCTGTTAAGCAGCACATTGCCACTCCAAGCAAGGAGCTCACAAAGTCAAGGGAAAACCACATGGTGATTTGTCAACAAAAACAGCTTTTCAAGTGCATAACTGCTGAGTAACTGAGTAACTCCTGAAGCCAGTGAACCAAGTCATGAGGTATATGGCAAATTGGTCCCTTCCATTAAAACATGTTTTCTACAAGATTAGGATATAACGACTGAGCACGGAAATGAGACTGTCTTTATTGATACCCAAGACTCATGAGATGCTGAAATAAACTGTGGCTTGGAATGGAAATACAGTTTTTGTAACAGGAACATGGAGCATGTAGGTGCAGAGCCCCCCTTCTGTCTTATGTTTTGATTGCAGCAGTGGGAGTGTATAGTGGGAAAGAGAGGGACAGAGGTAGCTCAGGAGTGTAAGGCTGCTACACCCTTTCAGTAGTGATGTATACCTTCTGAATATCTCAAACATACAACAATCCTCTGAAATCTGACACTCTAGTTGAGTGGCAAATACATTTCTATGAATATGGTCCACTTGTATCATTTGCAAGTGAATAAACAATCGACCCAGATCCTTCAAACTTGTTTTTGAGTCCCTGTAGTATATCAGTAAAATTCCAGGTATGTAAGAATAGGAAAAACATGCTCTGCAGTAATGGATATTGCTACAATCTGTTGGTAATGCAAATAAACAATCCTCTTGTAGCCAGAGATGCAGTAACTCTACTGGCCTTGAAAATATCTTTTGGGAGAAAAAAAAAACCCAAACAAAAACCCCAGACTAAATACCTTTCGGTCTTTAATGTCTACATAAAGGCATCTAGGCACTTAGAGATTCAGTGGAATTTTTCACATTAGCAGCTAGCTCTGAATCAAATCAATGAGATTTAAGCAGTTCCATCCTTCAAAGTAAAGGTCCCTGTCTTGGTTTTTTTAAGCAATTGAATACATTTATGAGCCTGATCTTTCATATTTTTAATATTATTTCGTGCAGAGGGTTTGGACACTGATATTTCTAGTCCATGAGATGTTCCAATGCTTCCATAAAAAATACAGAACAAAATATCTGTATTTTAATGAGTCCCACAGCATGAATTTTTAGAGTAACCATCAAAATATCTTGGTTTTCTACTGCTAAATTCAAGTTCTTTGGAGTTCTACTTTATATTAAAATTTTAATATATGTAATAGAGTAAAACCTAAGTACTTTAAAAAACAATTTTAAAAAGAATATAAAGCATAACTAAGCACTGTATTTCTGCACTGTTACAACTGCATTTTTCAATGCAAATTTACCCTGTTTATGGAAGTACAGCTAAATGTACAGGTAAGTCATATGTAATTTCTGATAAAATACTGCTTTAAAGGTATTGCTGAAGTACAGATGGAGAAAAACAATAGAGTTTGAGACAGCTTGCTCTTCTTCTATCATTCTGCTATAAGAGTTAAAATAACCGTCAGTGGAAAGGATAGCAAGCGTCAATGGGAAAGGCTGTAAAATTTAGTCAGTGTGTTTGTTTCTTCACTTTAGTAAAACACCAAAGACTCATTATTTTTTTAATCTTTTTATTTTTGCTTTTGTAAAGACTTTGACAAATTGACTCTTCACACCCATATTGAAAATTGTCAGCAGCCCACAGCAAGGTAACATAGCTGTCCACGTTATTACCTGTTTTATGCAGTGGTGCTTCAAGAATATTGAAAAATACGTAAAATTTTTACATTCTCTAAATCTGATGGGGATTGTTTGAACCTCCTAGGAAAACTGTGCATAAAAAGGCAATGTTTTGCTCCAAGCAACGTGAACCAGGAAAGAACATATAAATATAAATACAGCCTGAGACCAATAAAGCTGTAGCTGCAAATCCACCATGGCAGTAAATGGTTTCCCTTTAATAATGAAATACCACACTGGCAAAAACAAATATATAACTCAAGCTATCCCAACCCTACAAAATAATGGTGTTTTAAAACAGAGAGTCCTTTCATTCTCTAGAGTGCTCTTTTCTTCTGCAACTAGGAGAGCTAAATTTTTACTTGAAAAATCGTGAAAACTCAGACTGCCACACAGTCACTTGTTAAGGGCCTTTAAGTGAAACTCCAGATATTCCAGCACTGGCAGCAATACCAGAGTTGGCAGCAGTACCGATGACCAAATTTCTCTTTATGAAACAAAGCACATGTTGGCTCTGAAGCTAAGTTTCTTGGTTTGAGGAAAGAAAGAAAAACATTTATTCAATAAAGAAAAACTTATTTGCCAGTAGGAATGAAAAGAGAAGATTTCTGTTCAGTGAACAAATAGAGGAATATTCTTTTGCTGCGAAGACCTCTGCAAGTTTTTAAAAGATTAAATTATTTCTTTTTAAAGCAAAATATCTGTTTCCATTGATGAGAGTTGTGAAAATCTCTTCTGCATCTCAGATAATCCAAGTCAGAAGCTACAACTACAACTCAGCTTTAGCCAGAGTTTTTCTTTTAGTGAGTTATTTGAGCTGTTCCTCTGCTATTCCTATTATTTCTCACTGTGCATACTGCTGCTGCTATCCAAGTTTGATCCAGTGAAAGTTGGTTTCCTTTGAAACTGATGTTAGTGAGTATCTCAGAGGGAGGTACTTCTAATGCTTCAGGGAGGCGGTAAGTTGCCTTAGGACTCTCTGTCCCTTTGTCTTTCTTTCCCTTTCTTTCTGCTACAGTAGTTATTGCTTTTCTAGCCCCTTTTAACTTCAGGTCCTATGGCAGCACAAAACTAGCATAAAAACAGAGCACTGGAGCTAACTCTCTGCTATATGCCCCAATTAACTTGACAAAGGTGTCATTGTGTGGCCCACCACTTTCTCAGTGAAGTTTGTATTAGCGAGTTCTTTTTCAATAATGGTGAAAATACAATCTTGCTAAGAACTTACATGTTTGCATCTCTCATGGATGCAAATACATAAGCTTGTCCAAATGAAGTGCCAGCAATTCATTGTCTACCATCAGATTTCTGTTGAGCACCAGTCTCTATCACCTGCAATAGGCAAAGGATGTGTTATAGTCTTAAGATATAGCAGCATGGTTTCTTCAAACAAAAGTTGTGTCGGTCTTTTCTCCCAATTAACAAGGGAGAGGACAAGAGGAAGTGTTCTCAGGTTGCTCCAGGGGAGGTTCAGGTTGGATATGAGGAAAAATTTCCTCACAGAGAGGGTTGTCAAGCACTGGAATGGACTTCCCAGGGAAGTGGTTGATTCTCCATTCTTGGAGTTATTTAGATGTGCAGATGTGGCATTTAGGGACATGGTTTAGTGGTGGACTTGGCAGTGCTAAGTTAGTGGTTGGACTTAGTGATCTTCTTAAAGGTATTTTCCAACCTGAACAATTATGATGCCACACATGATACTGAGCTACTACCGTTTTCCTCATCGCATGAATAAAACTGCACTGTGGTTGGAAGCACTGTGGCTTAGCTCATGGGAGTTCCTGCATGTGAAGCCATTCCAAAACTTCCCCATACAGTGAGAAAAAGTCATGAAGAAAAAAAAAATAAATCTTGAGTACTGAAATAAGTAGAGTTGACTATTTAATGAGTCAGGCTGTTTGTCAATTTTTCCACCAGTTTTTCCTGAGAGATGACAAAGAGGGAGAAGAGCAAACATACTGCACTGCACTCTCATTGTGGTTGAAGTTTTGTGATTAAATGCCACTAGCTGCCTTGAATCGTCAAGGCACAGAGCACAAGAGTAGTACAAGAACATGCTTTGATAGCCTTTATCTCTAGAACTCTGCTCAGATTTCTTCCATGGAAATTGGAGAAAGGCTGTGAGAAAGAGGGATACCAAAGTTTCCCAGGTCAGTGGGTCCTGAGGAGGAGAGAGCAATTCTGTGGTGGTTGATTAGACAGCCCAGGTAAGAGGCTTGCTTTGGGGACTGTATTCCCATCCCATGGCCCAGCAAGTACCTATACAGAAGAATAAAAAAACCTTTCCATAATTTCAACTTTTGACATTTTTTAAAAAATAAAAAAGTAAAGAGGATCCATTTCCATTTAAAGAAAAAACCCACACCCGAGCTCTAAATCTGAGAAGCCCAGAACCTCTCCCTGCTGGGGCACCTTGCTGGAGTTATTTCCTTGCCCTATTCTGGTGGCCCCTTGCATCCTGTTGGTTTCAGGATGGCAGCTCTCTCAGGGAGGCATTCTCTCTCTACCTTTAACATGAAGCAGCTATGATTTTCACCAAGGTCACTTTATGCACCCCAAAACCAAGACAGATGAGAGTTCCTGTTGCTTGTTTTGCTCCTCTGTGTTATGCCACACTGCCTGGGCTCCCTCACTTCTCATAAATGTCCCCTTTAAAAGTATCACAAACTATAATACGAAAGCTGGTGATGTATAGCATATTCTAAGGAAAGATTTGCCTCTGTTCAGAAACCTTCCTGACCTCGTGACCGAAGAAGAACAAAATAACGTATTAACAAAAACACAGTTCACTGCCAAAGAAAAGGAGTTCCTGTAAGAACTGAAACAATAAATCTCCTCTGTACTGAACTCCCAGAGGGAGTATGTTGTGTTTCCTCCTGTTCTTTATCAAAGTCCCCAAAATAAGCAGGAATGGGCAGTGACTAGGCACAGTCTCTACACACCTTTTTCCATGGAGTAATTAAGGCCTGCCCCAGAGTGAGAGAGCACTCCCTGCCCAGCTGTGTAAGGGAGGGCTGACAGCATTACCACCACTACCACCACAACCACTAAGCATGAAGCTCCTGGGAATTGCCTTCTTTTTCTTAGCTGTACTCTGTGTTTGTGCTGTGGGAGGTAAGTTCTTTGGCTTTCTTGGATAGACTTGTCACATTTGTGGGGTGTTTTGTGAGCAAAAGCTTAGCCGTCAGTAGCTGGATGCTTTTTTTTTTTTTTCTCCACTGCAGTGATTGAAAGACTGTGTGTTGGAGGAAAAGAAGGTACTAACTGGTAGTTGAGTTACATGTGTTCTATGAAAAAACTTTCCTGCCATTGTATTTTTGTGACAGCTTTCGTTTTAGGTATCATGAAGCTCCTAAATCTGAGAGGAATTAAAATTGGAGATATATTTACAAAAGTTTTCAGTTGTGTTTTTCTTCTAAGAAATAAAGCGTCTTTTGTACAGATGGCTTTAGGGGGGGAATTGAAATGTCTGAAAGATTTTGCAATTAATGTTCTTGCAAATCAGATCTATTCTGATGGATTTCCCTGGCACTATGCCAGCAATAAGTTTGGCCAAGAGTATCTCTCAGAAATTATTTTAGTTTTGTCCCCAAAGATATAGGGGCTTACAAAATTTATCAAGTGCCACATACTGAGGGATGCAAGCCTAGGGGTGATATTAGTTACTAAGTGCTGTATTCTTTAAACATGATTCTCAAATGCACAGATTTAATCAAATTTTATGATGTTCACGTGGTCACTGAACTGATGTTTTCATTATTCTTCAGCTTGAAAGATCATGCTTTTAAAGTGAAATTAACTAATTGCCCTGAAGGGATGAGAGAAACTGCAACAACGGCCAGAGTCTATCACCTTTGTCAAAAGATACATTTGAAGTAAAATCTGCCTTTTGTCTGCACTTTCCTTTGCTGACCCTCTGGGCCAATGCTTCCACAAATGCCTACAGATTGTCTGCAAGGGATCTAGGAATCAGAACTTTAAAAACTGATAATTAATAGATGTCTATCTATTAGATGGGTATCTAATAGAAAGTAGATAATAGATTAACTGATCTATACAAAGTTAATCAACTTTTGCTCATGTTATGTGTTAAAATCTGGTCTTTTGTGATGTATCTTACACTGTTGCTTGGGCTCACTGCTGTTAGGGAAGTAAATCAATAAAGGAGATTAAAAATAAGCTTGTGCCACAGAAAGAACTGCTTTTAAAACTATGTTAAGTAAGTACAAGCCCTGAAAGTCTGTGTTGAAGTACTATTTATTCTCTGTCTGCTACTCCTAGTAAAAATAGCCTTCCTGTCATTGTTGAAGCTTTAATTTCACAATTTGTGAAAAGCAACGTGGAGTTGCATCAAAAAGAGCATATTTAACACAACAGTCCATAAAGCTTACCAGAAAGCAACATGCAAAGGTGGGAGGAATTCTGTAAACTTTATACAATCCTTTCTTTAAAAAGGATTTTCCCTCCTCTGCGTGATATGAATGTGGTAGAACTGATGACAGTGAATAAGCAAATTTTATATATGGTACATTTGTTCTGAACAATTTTGTTTCTGTAAAAGTATTTTTAAATGCTTTATTGCAAGGTAGATATGGTAGTGAAATTCTGTTGGTAAATTCACAATTAAGAATATTTGTGGGAAAATTTGGAGTATGTCTCTACCCTGTGAAAGTAAAGGTGCATAATCTGGTCAAGCTTTCTTCAGGCTACCCCATACATCAACCTGTTAAGACAGAAGTGGTTTTATTGTCTGTAATATGAAGCTGGAACGAGTATTTGGATTTCCACTTTTGTGATCCCCAAAGTGTCCTGGGCTGTAATGGCAAGATTTTATAATCTGAAGAGGGGAACTGATGGTAAAGAGGCTAACACTAATCTCCCTTGTGCTCAGTCTCCCTTTTTTGAACACTGGAGACAGTAGCAAGACTTTTTTCCGGTTGCTTAGGAACACCTTTAGTATCTTAAAAGGTCAAATCACACCCCGGTGTTTTAATATTCCCTCTCCCAGGTTTTGGGGTATTGTGCCTTCAAAGCTTACAAAGACAAGTATTCTGTGGGCTTGCAACCTTTTCATGTAATACACACAAGTTGCCTGTCTTTGTATTTTTGTGTATCATACTGAAGTGGACAAGGATGTTTCCACTGTGGTTAGTAAAGAAAGCACCAAGTCTCCTGTAGAGCTTCCAAATTTCATGCTTTGTATTCAGCCTGTGTACTGGCAGTGCCTTTCTTTGCAATTTTCTAATTTTTCTTGGGACCTTGCATCCTCAAAAGCCCCTAATGTTTTGGTGAGATCGTGTCAGCACGTTACTAGGGGCACAGTTATGTTCAAATGTGGAGGTTGGTAGCTTCCTGACAGCTCATCCCTCCTCTCAAGGCTTTTCTCAACCCTTTGGAAGTTAAATGACATACTTAAAACAGGAGTTCCTTCGTGCTCATCTCAAGGTGTTCAGTCCTCCTGGTATATTGCTCTTTATTCTTACCTGTTCCAAAACAACTCAAATAGAAATGCTTTCTGCGTTGATTTATAGCATTTCCAGCTTTAAACAGACAGTACTGGAATGTGTAAAAAAATACATTGTCAAATTATAGTAATCAAATACAAATGCTCTCGAGTCTGCACAAATGTGTGGCAACACAGCACAGCAGATGTCCTCCACAAAGTGCTTGTAGCATCACAGCATCCTTCTCACTCAGGCACCCAGGTTGGTTTCTTGCAGAACTGATAGCAGAGAAGAGTGGGTTGTGCTCCCCCTAACATCAGTCTGGATGCCTTCAGGTTATGTACTCAAATGTAGGAGCTGGAATGGACTGTCTCGTGTTGAATATGTACAGCGGGTGGGTTTATTAGCATCTGATTACTGACCCCTGTTGACAGCTAGCAGTAACTTTATCCAAGTGCTCTGTCAAAATTAATGGCACAAAAAAAAACAAAACAAGGGTGCTTTTTATTTTGGAAAGGTAGGAGCAAGTCTTGGCATTGAGAGCCTGGTCCAAATGCCCCTGAAGTAATTTAGATGTATTCCATTACATTGTGGATCAGCCCTAAGCTACAGGTTTTCCAGCCCCCTTCCCCATTAAGGGGATGTTGTGGAGCATCCTAACCTTACAATGCAGTTGATTAATCCTGACTCCCAGGCTGACAGCTTCAGAAAAGTTCCACTCAACCAGGGCTCCTGTAGTGATTACATGTATTTGCAACTGCCTGAATTCTGCTCTTGTTGGTGTAAACTAGAGGAGATGGATAGCCTTTTCCTTTTCCATCTACTGTGCTCACAAGCCTTCAAGTCTTTTAAAAATTCATTTTAAAAATTAAATACTAGCTAAACTATTTTGAGCAGTTAGAGGTTTTGAGTATAGTCTTCCCTCAGTCTGGATTATTATTCGTGTTGGTTCTCTAGAAGACCAGCAAGACACAGACTGTCACAGTTGGATCATTGTCTCATCTCTGAAAATTTGAGAAATGTGAATAGGCTTTGCATAAGGATTTCTTACACCTTTAATTTGCTTGAGCCCAAACTTTGAACGCCTTGAGAATTTTCTTGTTGCGAAAAAAAAAAAAGCATTTGGCATTTTCGCTGTTCCTAGCATTTTGCAAAACTAGCTTTGTCAAAGATCAAATTATAGTGCTGGAGATTATCATAACCTTTAATTGAATATTGAATTTTTATCCCTGTACAGATTTGTTTTGTTCCTTTTTGTTTCCCGTGCCCCCACATTACTTTCATTCATTAGATCTTTTGCATATGGGGCCAATTTTTGCCTAATGGATTTTAAAGGTGTATTTATTACTGGACAGAAGAAAATTGCTTGTTCTAGCCCCAAAGCTGAAGACAAGTTTACTGCATTTACTGAGGATAGAAGCAGATGGCTTGATACCTGCTTGCTTGTGATTTACAGCCAAAATAAATGGAAATTGAATATGAAGGGCAAGTTGCCTGCAGCATTCAGCTCCAAACCTGAGAATACATAATGCCATGCCCAACAAACGGCTGTCTCCTCTGAAAATTTACCAGAATGTTTTCTTTTTTATTTAGCTTTCTCTTTTTATCTGTATTTAAACCTAGAGTTCTTATTAATATTTATTCCATTATAAATTAGGAAAAAAAATTGGCTGAGGCTTGGTTTTGTTTGGTTGTGTGGGATGTTTTTTTCTAAATAGGAAAAGTACCCTGAATCTGGCCTCAAATTTTTTATACATCTGAGTCCTATGTAAAAAACCTGAAAAAGTACGAATTAAAAGTAATCTCCAAGGAACTCTTAACCTAGGGAAGGGAATACTTTGAACTGGCACTATTCGATAGTCAGACTAACTTAAAAGACTAAAGACAGTAAAATTGCATGGAAAGCCATCCTTATTACTTGTGGCCCTCATGAAGTGGAGGCAGAGAAGGTATTGTTTGTTTGTATTTTTTGCTGCAACAACTCAAGAAAGACCCTTTAATGTTTTGGGGGTTTTTTTGAAAAACAGAGAGACAATGTTGGATTTGTGTGTAGTAGCTGTTACTTCCAAATACAAGTCAAGAATTAAAGACTTGGCTCCCTTGGAAGACAAACATCTACTTTTGTGTTCAGCTAGCCCTCTAAAAATAGGTTTCCCAGATGTAAATGGAAGGGTCAAACCCCTGAGTTGCACCGTGTTCTGCCATGGAAGTCACCATCATTATTCCAGCAACTGAGATACAGGTAGTGATACCTTGGCATTCATCTTGTCAGAATTGGCCCTTGGGTGCCCTAAGAGCTGCATGCTGTATCAGCCAGACCTACCTGCATTAAGAAAAGTTTGACACAATTTAATATGATTCTGTCTCTACGCTGTGCCTTCTGACCCTACCTCCCCATGTGAGAAAACTGTGCTGATTATCGCTTGCTGATATAATGACTTGGAACAAAATTCAGCAAGTGTGATCTGCTGGGGTATTGTAGAAAGAGGGTAGGAAGCCCTCTGCTGCCATCCTCACATGTCCTAGAGGCTGGTCTGGAGGGGTCCAAATTAATTCAGAAAGATTTTTTTTTTTCTCAGCAGTCAGGGAAGACAACATCCCCTTTCAGGCCTGGCTAACTAGCTAATGCTCCAAAGGTTATCTTTCAAACTAGTAACAGGGCAAGGATTT